CACTTTAGCTTAGTCATTCTTAGAGATCCTTCACTTATAAACTCATTTATACTTGTTTTATTTTTTTACTGAGCATGGAAATATTCTCCTACACCTATCTCCTGCGTTAGCAGAGGGTGAAACTTTAGGGTTAGAAAATCCTGACAGATCTATGTCACACTGTCACTTAACATTCATGAACTCACCCATTTTGACTCACGACGGGGAAGGCTGTTGTTGGTTTAGCGTCCAGGAAACAGCAGAGAACGTCTTGACTAGTAGAAGCTAAATGTTAGCATTAGCAGCTCCACAGAAAGGCAGAGCTCCCCCAGGGTTGTGCTATTTGTGGAGTAGCCCCGAGTACTACTAGAGACCACGGCAAATGTATTAAAAGTAAAAACATGAGTTAGAGACCTCTTTAAAAACAGATGATACAGAGGGATGTATGCTATATTATGGATATTCCCTACCTTTTGATTTAGAAAAACCCTATAATTTAGAGAATTGCATTTGCTATTTTTACTTTTGACTACTTTCCTGTTTTACAATCCAGTCTTAATTACTGTAAGACAAAAAAAACATGTTTGTGTTAGCAGATAAACACTGGAGCATTGTTTCCCATGTGACTCTGCGGGGTCGGTGAATGCTTATTACTATTTATCAATCACAAATCAATAGTTATGATTGTGGTGTTGAGTGCTTGCCTCAGAGTGATATTGACTGGCTTAAGGGCTGGGCCTGTTGCCAGTTCTCAATAGTTCTCCCTGTCCTTATGTTTGTTTCTCATCCCTCCCTCTCACCGATGTGGGCGTTGGGTGATTCAACCTTATGGCAGTCCTAAGTGTTCTAATAGAAACATATTGATCAGGACTCATGCCATTCATGCTGCTGGATATTTTAAAAACAGCCACGACAACAGCAGCCTTACCTCTAAATGTAGTTGGTGTGGTCAGAGGGACCAGTGGCGCCGGTGTTCAGCAGCTTCGCTCCCGTCAGTGTGCCCCAGGGCAGCTGTGGCTACATTGTAGCTCATCATCACCAGCACGTAAATGTGTGGATGTCTGATTGTGTTGTGAAGCGCCTTGGAGGGTTGTAGAACCCTAGAAGGTGCTATACAAAATAGGGCCCGACCGATATGCTTTTTTTGGGACCGATACCGATATAAAACTTTTAACAAAGGCCGATAGCCGATATAATGGCCAATAAATCTCCCTCACAAAAAATAGATAAATACAAATGTTCTTAAGATTAAACCCTTCATTCTCTGCCTTTTTGATGCTAACTTATTTCTATAGTACACACCAAAGAACTGTCTCAATAACTCACTAGGGTTTCCAAGTAATGCAAATAAGATTTATTTTGCAATCTCAAAAACAACAGAACACACAAACTCAGTCAGTGTAAATCTAACATTCAAGTTTTTTGTTTTCTGAGTCTGTGGAATTTTACACTTTTGTGTTTTGATCCTTTCCAAAGCCGACAGTATTAGGAAAATAAAAATAAGATATGTTAAATGACTAGTATGTGGCAATGTATAAGCCTTATGTAAAATATAAGACAAAAATACAAACAAATGTATTCTATTGTAGAGAGGAATGTTTATTTTCTCGTATTACCGCCCCTACTCCTCTCCCAGCTAGGGGGAGGAGGGGGGACTCCCTGCACAGCGTTTCATTGCTTTGTTGCCAACCCTCCGCTCGCCCGTCCTCAGCTGCGACAACGGTCGTGTGCCGCCGAAGCGCCACGAAACGGGGACCGCCTTCATTCGTCGCCCTTGTTATCCTATTCTATAGGCCACATGGGCCGCCGAAGCGCTGCGTGCCGGCGCTCCAGCCCGCGCCGTGCAGCGATCGTTTCGGCATCTGCACTATTTTTTTCATGAGCCACGGTTGAACCGCGTGAGTTTGAAAAGACTGCTGAAGAAGAGCGGAGGAAATTGTCTGAGAATATTCCAGAATGCCTACCAGAAAAAGGCCAATGTTACTTACTTACTGCCCTGCATGACTAAAGGGGAAGCAGCGTGAGCTCTGCATAGAGCGTAATGCTGCAGCAGTTTTATTTTATTTTTTCAGGTTAACTTTTCAATACGAGGCCACGAGGCACACAATAAACTTGGGAAGCATGTTGAGGGGAAACACTAGTTTGTCATTGCTTATTTTACCGTTCAACTTACCACTGACACAAAAAATATGCTTAAAACTGAAGGTTTACCTCCTACTTCCTCATCACCGTCCTCTCTGCTTGACCGAATTGCTTCTGTTGCCCCACTGCATGTGTGCTGTGACGGTGGCTCCACCCCCGAGGAATGGAGCCGTACAACATGAGTTCATAAAGCTGGCGCCATCTGCTGGATAGGTAGCGCAATATCGGCCATATCGGCCGTCTTTTTGGCCGATAGCCGATAGTGTTAATTACCCCTATATCGGCCAATAATATCGGCCGGCCGATGTATCGGTCGGGCCCTGATACAAAATACAGGCCGTTTACCTTTTCCGTGAGATTTCTCAATAGGATGTCCAACTGATAAGGCCAAAAGTTTGATCAGACAAGAAAAGCTTGGAGTAGAGCTGCTTCTCCTCTTCAAAATGAGTCAGTTGAGGTGGTTTAGGCACCTGCGTAGGATGCTTTCTGATCGTCTCCCTCTGCATGTTTCCTTGGCTTATCTCACTGGGAAAGCCCAGGAATTCCCTGGGCTTTCCCAGAGGGAGCTGGAGAATCCGGAGAAGTGGGTGGATGGATGAATATTTAAACAGTTAAATTGCCCCTGTTTCTTGTTCATGAGTGATGGTTGGATGGAACGAAAGATGGACTGATGGATTTGGGCTCGGTCTGCAGATGCGAGGGCATTGCCCTGGTCTGGTTCACCCTCAGTCAGAGTTATGATAATTGTTACAGCTACAAAACAACGGCAGGAGTTTCCTTTAACAGCCTCATCATCCAGGAGTCTTAGCTGCTGTTTCTCTTCATCACAAAAACTCAACCATGGTTTTCTTCTTCCATAAGCATTTGTGTAATCAGTGTAATAAAAATGTATTGAAGTGTTGCTAACTACAGACATGTATCACCTCAGCCACTTTAATGAAACCCCCAGATCTTTATTCCATTTCTGCATTTACCACCAGTCGGTGAGTTTGTGTTTGTTTCTTTTTCACGGGGAGCACAGCGCTGACCACCACAACCTGCTCTCTGACCTCTCATTCTCTCCACACTCCATGATGTTTTCAGGTCCAGCCTTGGAGTCGGTGACCTTGGCCAGCAGTCTCAGATTTAATCAGCAGTTCTGTCCACACTTGCAACCCCAATCAGACACTTCCAGCACTTTAAATTACTCCAAAGTCCCCAACCTGACCAGATCAGACCAGAGCCACGGCTCGTGTTGCTACGTTAGTCCCCTTTTTTATGTCAACACACAGTTAGTCACCTAAGACAAGAGGATTTAAAAGATTTTGAAAATGCAATCCTTGCTGCATCCTATCCTTTTCAGTTAACATGGTGCAAAGAATTGTTATCTTACTACATTAGCATCTTTATTGGAGATTTGTAATGACTTTCAGCTTAAAATCTGGAAGCTCTTTCTGCATACTAAAAACGAATTCAACCATCCGATGTGCCCCCTGTAATTGCCTTTTGTCCGTGTGCACGTGTCTTAAACTAAGTTTGAATATTCCACCCAAGCCAAACCAACTTTTGAAAGTAACTTTGACGGAGGGGCGTGCTGGTGGCTTAGAAGATAATCACATCAAGAGCACAGAGCCTGACCTGTTTTTGCATCAGTAAATTTCTGCTCAATGAAAAGCACTCAATCTGCCATTGTTGTCCTGCCTTTAGTGGGATTGTGAATAGCACCTTATTGATTGAGAGCAAAATGTTTTTAATGTTGTAGATGAGATTTCTGGATTGGTCGCTAATGGGACGATGGAAGCTCTCTGCAATCTATTTTCAAGTCAAGTTGCAAATTGAAAATCTATACACACATAATTAAGGCTTAACTGGAAGGAATGTCAAAACTTTTCTCCCCCACCCCACCCTTTAGTTAAACTTCAAAACAAAAGAGACGTTGATGATTATTGTTCAAAGTGATGAACACGTATTTTAATCTAAACCAGAATCGTTAGCATTGATGGTGTTCCTTAATTTCTAATAATTGATTAAATAAGATGAAATATGTATTAAATAATCTTATTTTTGGTTGTTAAATTCTAAATGAGGCATTTCCCAATGGACAGCTTCCCTTTTCTTCCTTTGGTTTGGTTACAGGATCAGTGGATTTAGCACGTCGGTCAAGGATATGTGAGCAGGTGGTGCTGCATGGGGGCTCAGAGCAGGGTTTCTCCACAAGGGGGGTGTCCTGGATTTCAAAAAGCTCTTGTGATTGGACGTTTAAAACAAGAATTTACCTGAGCTACTCAGAAGTGCTGATATAAACCAAAGGAGACACAGAAGCACTCTACTGAGGACGCCGTGTTCGACCTTCTGTTGAGCTGAATTTATAAATGAAATTTAAATGATGTTCTCAGCGCCGTGCTCAGAAACAGGCATGTGTTGCTGGATGGATGAACACAAACGAACTCCTTTAGGAAGCAAGATTATTACATACGATTGCCGTAGCAAAGCTTAGCTTTGTGAAAAGGGCGAAACTTATAACCAAATGTCTGCTGTAAAACATGAATTACACTACCCAGTTTATTTTTTTCATGAGACATGAATGTGTTTTATTTTCATTTGTTACTTTGAATGCAATCCTTGTTTTTGTTAACACTGATGCATTTTTTATGGTTCAGTCACCAGTGCATGACCAGTTGGGAGAATCAAAGATGAAAACGCAAAATCAAAGTAGAAAACTGAAGTTTTACGTTGATTTAGAACATTTAAAAAATACTCTTGTTATCTTAAATTAAAGGATTGTCTTTCAGCTACACTGATCTGAGACCTGTTACCCGTTTCTACATGGTGGTGGTGGCTCAGAAAAAAAAGTGTTGCAAAAACCATTCTTTCTCTCTCGTCTGTGTTTTCGCTTCCAGTTCACGTGAAGGCAGGAACCTGTGAGGTAATTGCTGCACACCGATGCTGCAACAAGAACAAGATCGAAGAGAGATCCCAGACTGTCAAATGCTCCTGCTTCCCTGGACAGGTGGCGGGAACAACGAGAGCAGCTCCATCTTGTGTAGACGGTATGCCAGGCTTCTCATTACAGTTCTAGTAATAACTCAAAATCGACTTCGGATTAGAAATGGGTGACACGGTGCAGACCTGTCATATCTGTCAGTGTGCTTATTTCACCAATCATTTGTATGCGAGAGGCTTTGTTGCCTGGAAAAAGAAGAAAAACATGGTGAGGTTTTGGTGATCTTTCTGGATTTGGAGTTAAAAACAAACAAAAACAAATAACCAAATGTTCCATTCACTAGAACTTTTATCTGATTTTACATCAGATGTGATGAGCAAAGCAGACAGATGGCCTGGTCATTTAATATCATGTCAGCTGTGTCCTCAGTTCCAGGTGAATCGATCCCCATCTCCTCCTTTCAGTGTAAAAGCCTTGACAGAGGCTCAGTTTTGACAGTTCTCTGCTCACATTAGAAATGTCACAGGAAAGTGTTTCTACCCCTGTGGCCTTTCTTCAAAGCAGCTTAAGACGTCTCCTCACTTCTCCCACCGTGCACAAACAACTATCCTCCTCACAGCAAACACACCTGCCCACAACATTCACCATCTTGATATTGACCTGAAAACTCACCTGAGCAGTACTGACAGAACTCCATGGATGCCAGAGATCAGGATACTTTGTTGTATCACTGAGTCCAAAAGGGCTCCTTGTTGTTTCAAACTGCATGTTAATAATTGTTTTTAGTGTTTTTTAATTATAAATATTGGTGATATATTTACAGAATTCTGTCTGTGTGTGTTTTACTCATAGCGTCAATAGTTGCACAGAAGTGGTGGTGCCAGATGCATCCCTGCATGGATGGAGAAGAGTGTAAAGTGCTGCCAGATCTCAAAGGATGGAGCTGCAGTACAGGAAACAAAGTTAAGACAACTAAGGTGATTAATCCTAACCCCAACATCCCAGATTTCACGTTTGGTAACAAAGGAGCACTCCTCAGATATTTGTCAGTCAAAAGACAAAGATTTTGCAACATTTTAGGTTTCCAAAAGTCAACAAAATGGAATAAAAACGTTAACGAGATGTGTGTGTAGAATAGCTGAAGAGGGCAGTGTAGAATAAGCAGAGAAACGGGGGAAACTAGAGGCTGGTGGATCTGACCTGAAACACTAAAGAAGTGAGTTAAGTTAAGTTTTTTGCTTTAGTTAAGCCTGATTTACAGTATACTTCTCCACAAGGGAGAGACACACACGCACTGACAGACGTTTTGCTCTTAGACTCGTCCGTCACCTGCAGTATTGCAAAACAATTTCCCGCCAAGACAACAGAGGGCGTAGCGATTTTCTGTGGTATCCTGCCACCATTACAGTCATGTCTCCAGTCCACGATAGTTTATTTATGAATGTATTTATATATTTCAGAGACTTTATAACACGGACAAATTTGTCCTTAATTTCCTGCACCTCTTGTAAGTGCATTACTGACACCTCTCCCTGGCTGCAGCTGAAGTGTGGCGGTCAGAAAGCCTCACACTGTTGCTCAATGTTCGACAAGCACATAGTAACGCACAACCTTCCGTCCCCAGTAACGGTAACGGCGTTGCAACAGTGGGAAAAGTAATTACTTAGATTATTCCGTTACCCAGAAAAAAAAGAATGCCGTGAGTTACGCCGTTATTTTAAACGGCATTATTCCCATCACTGTTCACGGGTGAATTAATGTTCATATTTTCAGACTTTTTCCACTATGCGTTCTTCAATCTGTTCCGTGTCGACCGCTAAATATCTTTCTTTATTTTTTTTTTATGGGGCACCGGCGGTGCTGGTGATGAATTTACAGGAAGCGGCATCCTGACCAATCGCAAGCTTGCGGTCTCTGTCACTTTCAACGAATGTTTCGAAATTTGGGCATGTCTCAGTTACCCTCCGAGAGCCCGTCGGAGAGTGCTTGCTCCAGCACATAATGGCATTGCGTGTCTCCGCACCAATGCAGACGGAGGTAAAAATCAGGCTTTAGTTGTATGTTTAGTTGTTTTGTTAGTTGAGGGTAATTTCTTTACCCTCCTGTTGTCTTCCTGGTCAGAAATGACTGAAGTGATATTTTTTTAATATAATTCATCAATAATAACCTAATCAGCTGTTGTTCAGCTTGTTTTGTTAAAGAAACAAATGTAGATATTTTTATGCCCTTGAGGGTCTTTGACTTCAGTTTATACAATTTATTAAAACAAATGTAATTTATGGAATTTGTCTGACAATAACAAGCACCTGCACTAGCACACGGTGCATCAGTATGCAACTTACTGTTGTAAGGGTGTCGTTCTTCATGAAAAAACAGACTTTCTCTTTCGTTCTGATCTGCCTCGGTCTGCTCTGTTGCCTCCTACACATCAGCTGCACGCATTGACTGTTAAATAAAGGTTGTGCGATACAAAAAAAGTTGCACAACACAACAAATCGATGACGAAATGCGTTGCAAACGCATTTCTTCAGTTTTTATCGATTTGTTGTTGCAGCCCTTTATGTGTGAGTGTGTGAGATTATTGCTGAAGTGATGAATTGGATTAAACCTTCACCCTTAAAAGGATGGGTTTGGTTTGATGACATGGAAGATCAACCAGTGGACAAGGACCTTGTGTGAAGTAGTGAAGAAAGCTCTCGATTTATTGGTCAGTCTACGTTCCAACCCTCAGCTATGGTCATGAGCTTCAGGAGGAGCCAGTTCAGGTGGCTCGGGCATCTAGTTAGGATGCTTCCTGGATGCCTCCCTGGTGAGGTTTTCCAGGCACGTCCAACTGGGAGAAGACCTAAAGAAAGACCCAGGACATGCTGGAGGGACTATGTCTCTCACCTGCCCAGGGAACGCCTTGGGATCCCCCCAGAAATGCTGGCCCAAATGTCTGGGGAGAGGGAAGTCTTTCCTCAGGCTGCTGCCCCCACGACCCAACCTCGGATAAGCAGAAGAGAATGAATGGATAGATGCACAACAGCCTAATTTTGCCAATATCTCACCCAATTCTCCCCTTCCAAAAGAATTCTCTTCTTCCAAAAATCCTGATGATGCTGGTCAGGTTGTGCGTTTTGGGTTTCAGGGTGTGGCAGACCAGAAGTGGACGGTGGGTGAAGAGGTGTGGGAGGATTGGATGGTGGGGCAATACACTAGACCCTTTCCCATCCATCACAGTCCACTCTTTGACTCACCAAATGCCTATAGTTGAGCTGCCTCTTCTATTATTCATGTCTACAGGAGTCCTGGATGAAGCCAAGCTTTTTATTTTAGGCAGGTAAATAATTCATGGCCCTCTCCTACAGCAGTGGGAAAGCAGAAACAGAGGCACAGATGAGCAGGGGTCCAGGTGGCTAGTAGAACCCGTCAGAACCTTGACTCCTTTATTGATTAGAGTCGGCGGGGGTCACTCCATGCTCATGGCCTCACTGCCTCCCACAGAGATCTGTCTAGGGATCGCTTGTGTTTGCTAAAGGACTCTGTGCTGGAACTTGCTGGACATTTAACATCCTTCTGAGAAACGAACAGGTGGACAGGTGGTCCGAGGAAGCAGTGCGAGAGGGCCTCCAGAGGGCTGCTGGTGATGGGTCTGTGTGAAAATTTAGAGGACTATGTGGAGAACACCTGACGGTAAAGTGCAAACATTCATATTAAGGGTGTGTTTTATCCGCTCGACTGAAGGGGTCTTCAGGGAGAAACCTCAGATTAGATCAGGTAATACTTCATAATTCTCCAAAAGGGGAATTGTAAACCTCCAGTTCATTTATTTTTTGAGAAAAGATTAGTGATAGTGTTGACAAACTTTTGTAACATTGGAAGTGTGACAAAAAAGTAGAAACCGCTTCTTAAAACGTAACACAACCTCAGGATTTGTTACAAATAGATGCATATTCCTCATGTTGTAATACACATCTCATGATCGGCTGTGGCAGATTGTGTTTTACCTCCCGATGAAGCCACATCAGTAAATCAGCCCCACCTTGATAAGCTCTCTCTGTACTTTTATTGTCCTGCTGGTAACCACAAGAGTTATAACACCAGCAGCTTTTCACTTTCTATCATTCAAAGGACAGAGGGCAGGAGACGCTCACATCCCTCCTGCTTGACAGGTGCTGTGAAGTCTGTGTTGAAGCTGGTGATGGATGGGTGTCAAAGAGAGATTTATTCTCTACACATAATGGAAATATGGTTTACATTTGCTGGTTGGTGGTGGTCGGAGGGACTGGTGGTGCGGTGCTCAGCTGCCTCACCCCTGTAAGTGTGCTCCAGGGCAGCTGTGGTTACATCGTAGATCATCACTACCAGCGTGTGAATGGATGAAGGGCTGATAGTGTTGTAAAGCTCCTTGGGGGGTTCTAGGATTTTAAAAGGCACTTATATCGAATACAGACCAGTACTCACAGTCACAAACATGGAACAAAGGCAGTTAGTTTCAGGAGCTCAGTGGCGGTTTCTATTCAGTCTTCTGTCAGTTCAAATTTTTGTGGCATGTCAGCACATTGTGAACACGTTTTTTTGAAAGATCAATAAATAAACTAAGCTTCCAGTGTTGGGAAATCAATGTTTCTACTAAAATGGATTCCATTTTTTTTAGGTTTTCTTTTGGTGATTTCTGACTTAGCCCGACTCCTACAGCCTTATTCTGAGAAGGAAACATTTTGATATGCTGCCTCAGACCACGATGTCTGAGGATTGTCACACGAAAGTGAAAATAAAATAGTGGCTCCCCAAACAGCGAGTGCAGAATCATTATCTGCAGCTGTAAACAACGCCCAAAAAACATCTCTCCAGTGCTGAATGTTATAATTGCACAGCTGATTGCTTGTGTTAATGCCACGCTGATTCAACTGGTGAAATCCCACCAACCGCTGAGTGACTGACAGTGATTTGCATACAGGACCACCTGTTCTCTATGTGTGTGAGTGTGTGTGTGTGTGTGTGTGTGTGTGTATGTGTGTGTGTGTGTGTGTGTGTGTGTGTGTGTGTGTGTGTGTATGTGTGTGTGTGTGTGTGTGTGTGTGTGTGTGTGTGTGTGTGTGTTTTATGACGCCGGGAGATATCAGTATTTCTGCAGTTCAAATTGCAGACCAGCAAAAAGTAGTACCTAATAACAAACTTGTGCATAAAATTTACAAAGGGCATGTTAAAAATTATAATAATATTTATAAAAAGAAATACAACTCTGCCACACAGCAGAACTCCTCCAGGCTTGTGTTGTTTGTGGAGATAAAACATCAACGTTGCAGAGCAAAGAGAGCCAGTGGTTGAGTGCATTGCTGTTTGCCAATTAGAGGTAAGGTGTCCAAATATCAAGAAATAAAAGTCCAATTCCTCCTGTCTGAAGCTACTTTCTCCCCCAGCTGACTTGTACTTGCTGATTCAGGTGCATCTGAGCTCCCCCCTGAAAACGACTTAAAAGTCATCCATTCCTACTAGGGACCACTGCAAATGTACTGATTAAACAATTGATCCACACCTTTAACAATCTGAGTTTCATTGATTATCTGGTGCAGCTTTCATACATAACAACCATTTTAAAGGACTCGCATATGGAGAATGTTCTGGATTTCATCAAGCTGAGCTGCAGTGTGATTTCTGTTTAGAGCAGCAATCATACAGCTCCAGACGTTTAACTGTAATTCTGTCGTAACCACTGTGGCACATCAGAAAGTTGTCCCTTAAGCAGCTCTTCTGTCTGCTAAAACCATGCAAACCATCTGTTTTTATTAACGGAGCGCCACACCGAGCTTCACAGAAAAGCCAACTAGGATTTCAGGCAGTTACCTAAAAGATTTACCTTTCAACACTGCAGCCTCTACATCACTCTAACCCCCAACAGTAAATGTAAGCACAAAGAACACAGGGTTCGGTATTTTAATTCAAAACAAAAGACATCATCAGGTGCATAAAGGTCAACACAGAACAAGTTGTGTAGGTGAATTCACTTTTATTTAGCAAAACAACACCTTGTTTAATACCAACACCCTAACTTGTTTCTCCTTATATTTCCAGGTCACCCGATAGTCACGCGTTTCCAGGCGAACCACATCTGGAATCAGACGTCTCTTTGACCAACAGAACAGGACATTTAGGACACAGCGTGGTTTAAGGATTGGTGGGAACGAGGGACCGCGAGAGACAACGGTCACCTTCGAGGACAAACAGAGGAAACACACCAGGGAACATCATGTGACACATATTGCCAAACAGATTCCTGATTTTTTTTATTTAACGTTGACAGTAGCCGTCTTTGAGCTCTGCTGCACACCAAAACTGTCTTTGTATCGTAGATCTGTTCCTATGGACCTGAAGACTCAACCATGATGATATTTATCGACTTACAGACTCAAGTAACAGGGAACAAATTCACCCTCGAAACAACACCATGTGATGTGAAACTTCTGTGTCATATTTCTGCCATGAGAAGCCCACGGACTCCTGCAGCAGAGCTGTGTGGAAGATCTTGTGACACGATAAGCATTTCCATTTCTTTTAGCCTTATGGATCAAACATCTCTTCTGTTTTGTTTTGTTGATTTAAAAAAAAAGTCCAGCTTTTCTTCTTTATGAGTTTAATAGAATGTTAAGTCCTCATTTGAAAAGCACACGATACTTTTCAAATAATAAATACCACAGCAAAAGTCATACAATGTGACTACAATGATAAACATAGATGAGTTCTGCCAGTTTAGTTGTATCTGTGGTTTTTAACGCCTGGCGACTGCTATTCATTCCAAATGTCAGTACTATCTCAATAAATTTAACTCAAAGAATTTTGTGGAGAAAAAATGGATTTTATTCCCTCTCTTGGTCTGTGTTATATTGGTCATATCGACAGGAGCTGTGAAGAGAAAACACATCAGCCAAGTATTTTGGTAAATAAAAGAAGAAGAGATCCGAGATAATCAGAATTGATTTCATGGTGAATAAAGAAAATGAGCATGTGCAAAGGGACAAAGGAGAAACCAAATGTTCACACATTTACAAAACGCTGCGTGAAATATGGGCCAAAGAGAAATAAATAGTCCTCAACCCGTATTAATTTGGACACTATTTGATTTGTTTTAAAAGAGCAAGTTCACTGAGATCCTTTTTTTTATTCTTGAAATATGATTGGTCACTTCGAGTTCAACATGCAGGCTAAACATGAAAATCGTGTCCTACTTCCTGCATTAGCTGCTGACAAAGAAAAAGATGGAGAATAACTCGAGTCAGACAAAAACACTCAGATCTGCGTCACACTGTCACTAACATTCACGGACTCATCCATTTTGGGTCACGACAGAGAAGGCTGTTGTTGGTTTAGCCACCAGGAAACAGCAGAGAACACCTTGACTAGTAGAAACTAACTGTTAGCATTAGCAACTCCACCACACAGCTGAACTCCTCCAGGCTTGTGTTATTTGTGGACATTAAACATCAACGTTGCAGAGCAAACAGTCAGTAGTAGAGTTGTGTTGCTGTTGGCCAATCTGAGGTGAGATGTCTGAATATCAGGAAATAGAGCCCGTTTTTAGAAAACACATCATGCCTGCAGATCAGTGTATCACTTTGTCATGGTGTGTCTTAGGAATACACTGTGACAGCATGGTGATGCAGAAATTTTACTGCATTCGTTCTGCCATGCTTGCTAGTAATATTACCGCAACACCTTGCCTTGTGAATGCATATTATGCCTTGGCATAACACATGTCATGATCACATGGCGAGTTACTGCCAAGCTCTAGCCAGCAACTACATTGAAAGGGAAAGTAAACACGGGCAGTAAGTTTTGCTTTGTAAACAGAATCAGCTGAGATGATAAACTGGAGCAATGCAGAGCTCCAGGAGCTTCTCTCTATTAGTGTTGGAGGTTGGATCACAATAAAAAGCAAGTTATGTCAACGTTAAACTGAAGCTCGTGGCAGCACAGAGACCACCCCCATACCTGCTTTACCACCATTGCGTAACCTTTTGTAAAAAGAACACGACTGCGCCACATTAATGCCATGGTCTGACCACTTCTATTAAGGCTCCCTGATGCCAGCTCAGTGTTGCAGCAAACTGGCCACATTGTTTTTCTAAAAGAGGCTTAAGTCTCCACTTTTGGTCAGCTCCTGGGTCCCTGGAACAAAGAAAAAGGAGTGTAAGTGAACAGGGCTATAAAATTTGTCTAATCCTTTTTGCCCTGAATCACATATATGTTGTGTTTCAGTTTAAAAAAATTGTATATGTGTGCTTTGACCATGTTTGTCACATAACTGTAGATTAATTAGCTTGTAAATATTCATACTTAAAATGACTACAAACCATAAGTCACATAAATGACATCACAGCAGATTGTCTACTCCTCAGCGTAGCTGCTACTGACATGGCCCGATTTATGGTGGTTTTCTCCACATTTAATGCTCCTTTTGTCATCCTGGAAATGGGATGTGAAGCTCGCTAAACTCAGCCATTTTACTTCTCCTTGTTTGTTCGATGATGTCATTTTGTAGCCTGGCAAGCCAGACTAAATAAATGTATTATTTAGTCTGGCAACGCTCCATTGAAGGCTCTCGGTCTTGGGGCGGGTTCTACCGTTGTCTTTCAAATGATCTCCGCATGCTACTGAACAATGAATGTGACATACTCACCGCATCAGCCATCGGTAAATGAGGCGGTCCGCAGTTGAAGAAGGAGAAAACACATCATTTTTTCTAAAAAAAAAAAAAGCACTTAAATACATCTATCTGCTCCTGATTCTAATGGAGCCCAAGTTCTAATAGTCCAAAATTGATGTAAAAGCTGTTTCAAACGAGCTGTCGCCATCTTGTTTCACTCTGTTGCATCATCCCACCCACCAGGCATATAGAGTACTCTGACTGACCCACAAAACGGATAAAGCTCTGTGATTTGTTCACTAAGCAGATAGAGCACTATGATTGGCCCGCCATTATGGACCAATCGCAGCTCTTTGTGTGTTTGAAACCCCTCTAGAGAGCTGTGGTTGGCCAGCCAGAATGCTGTTAGGGGCTGCAGAGGTTCCAGTGGAGCGTTCCTTGACCAAACTTTGCAAAGCAAGGATTTGGTCTAGTTCACTAGGCTAGTCATTTTGGTGAGACGAACGTGAAGTCCATTGCATATTTTCACACAAAACCTAAAATGACTTTTGACTCCTGTCAAAGATTTTGGATATTTTGACATCTCTCCTCTGATTGGCTAACAGCAACATGACTCTACCACTGACTCTGTTTGCTTTGCAACGTTGATGTTGCTCTGTGGTGTTGCTAATGCTAATGGTTAGCTTCTACTGGCTGAAACGTTCTCTGCTATTTCCTGGCCCCTAAACCAACTACAGCCTTCCCTGTCGTGAGTCAAGATGGGTGAGTCCATGAATGTTAAGTGACAGTGTGACGTATGACAGGATGACAGTGACAGTGTGACAGGATTTTCTAATCCTAGAGTTTCACCGTCTATTTTCTATTAGAAGCTAATGCAAGGGATAGGTGTAGGAGACCATTTTCATGTTCAGCCTGCATGAAAACCTCAGAGTGACCTGTTACAATCAGAAAAAATCTGAAATTTTTTTTAGTGATCCACACCTTTAAATGAGTAGTTGTTATTCAAATTGGTTTATAATAATTTCTTTATAAGTATTAATACTATTGCTTTGACCGATTTTCTTTAGTAGTGTGCCATTGACAGAAAAAAACCTTGTGATGAAGGAAGGATGGGAATCATGATAGGAGGGTGGAAGATAATGGATGAATGGAAAAAGGGATTATTAAGCCCCGGTGGCCTTGCCAGCCGGCAGAATCACTCAGATCCAAGGGCAAACAAAATGTCCATCCATTCTTAAGCATATAATGTGGTTACTATCATCACTGAAATCAACATGAAGCTTCATTCTCCTCTCTGTGGAAGCCAAATGGAGGCAGGAGGCAGGTGGGCATTTGTCCTTACTTTACATTCAAACAACACCTTGAAGATGGAAAATTACAGCATAAAAGGTCCAGGTCCCACCTTGGAAATGACAATAAAACACATTTTTGAAAAACAAATTCCCAATGTTGTTGTGTTTATGACTACAAAATAAAAGTAATCAAATAATGACATGCAAAGCATCATCAAAAAAGGTTTCCATGAGAAAAAGTATCCAAACTTTCCTACAGTCAGGCTTTCTGGACTCCAAACAAACTTCCTGGTAACTTCCATATTTCAGGAGTTCATTTCCACCTGTAATTGAAACAGTACATTCAACAGAATGTTCATCAAACCAAACACAGTTAATTAAGCAAAAACGTGGAAGGTTTGCTCCCAAAGATCAGACTCGTGGGACGGAGGAGGAGAGTTGCTACGGTTAGCGATCCAAGTTGCATCTTGTTTGGTTAGAAATCATTAAATTACAGTAATGACTAATTTCTCATTCCTGTTCACAATTCACCGGAGACCTCCATGGATTTAATAAAGAGCTGGCTATGAATTACAAACAGCGGATGGCTGAGAAAAGGCTATGTGATTATGCAGAGTAATTCGAAGGTGCATTAATAAAACAATACAGAAACATTACCAAATCATTTGAGATAAAGACTATTTGCATAATTCATTAAGATTAATCAGACCAGGCAATCTACCACAGTGCTCCGAGGAGCAGTGAGAGAAGACTTGATTCCCGTCCCCTGGAAAAACCTACAATGATACAAATCTACCCTTGGATCAGAGAATTAACCTCTGTGCACTTAACAGCCCCTGCAGTGTTGAAGCACAGTCCTTTAGTCATCCACCTTTATGTGGGCTAATATTGTATTAATAATGAAAGAACTTTTCATGCCAAAGCTCCTCTGGGTTTTGTTGCTCTGTCATAAAAGACCAAAAGTCATTTGCAACTCCCCCACGCAGCAGAGCTCCTCCAGGCTCGTGTTACTAGTGAAGATAAAACAGCAACGTTGCCGTTAGCCAATCAGAGGTGAGATGTTCAAATATTAGCAAATAAGACTCCATACTGCCATCTTCTGCTCAGCTCTGATCCGACTCACTTCTAGTTCCTCAAACAAGCACACCAGAGATAAATATGAGTGATGTAGATCTTTAATGTACATAAAACTTGAATTGGTCAACATTGACATTTGATACATCATGGCCTTATCAGCATTCAGGCTTTGTTACCTTAGTTTAAAATCTGTGCAAAAAAGAATACACAGATTCTTAAATTAAAAAAACAAAACAATTCTTGCAACTTTGTGGAGTTAACAGTACAGATCATGCTTTCCACAGCTCTGATTTTTATCTGAAATCTGATGACGCTGAGTAACAAAAAGTCCAGAAGTAGCAGCTGTGGGAAACCTGAGTCTCTAAAATAGCAAAAATATAGACTATATTGCAGCGGTGCTCAATTAGTGGGGCCGATTAAAGGTGAGATATCAGAATATCAGAAATGAAGAGTCCAAATCCGGCTGTCTTCAGCTCAAATCTGATCTGGCTCATTTTTACTTCCTGAAACTGGAGCTCCAGAGATTTTTCTCCCCCTGTGATTGACTCACAAGGCGTCCATTTATACTAGAGACCACGATTTATTTTTAAAAGAGAGAACTTGGTCTTTAATTTATAATGGAATAGTGTAATCCTAATTTCTGTGCAATCAATCAATCAATCAATCAATCAATCAAAGCTTTATTTATAAAGCGCCTTCCGCAACCCTGTCAGGAAGCCCAAAGCGCTGAACATGGTACAGTTGTAAGTAATTATATTGAATAAATCAACAATAAAAGAAATTCAAATTACAAAATACAAATTACAAAATATAAATGGAAAT